ACACACACACACACACACACACACAACAAGGCTACTTTTTTATAGTTTTTTTTTTTTTAAACAGTCTATAGTTAAAGATGGCTCCTGTCCATGTTTCTGCTATTGCAAGATTGTTCACTACACTACATTTTCCAACCTAAATTTAAAACATTCCGAACAACGGAGCCACACCATTTCTTTCAGGAGACTATTTCACAACTCAATAGATCTCACTATCAGGAAAGTGTGCCTGACTGTGACAATAATATCATTTTATCCCTCACTCTTCTACCATCCCTGGTTCCTCCCTGCCTAATCTCTATCAGCATTGCTACCCTTTCAATATTTTAGAAGTTTCTATAGTGTAATGAACAGAGTTAACATTGCAAGTTAAAACTTAAAACATCCAGGGAATCAAATTATAATTCAGAATGAGAAGCAGGATATGCACTCATCTTCTAATTCAAGTGTCAACTCCACATGACAGGTGTCACATACTATACTCATATCTGCCCACTGATACTCTATATGTCACCCACTGATATTCTACTTCTAAAGGGGCAATGCTTTAAAAATCATTATTTAAAAGAAGTCTGTTCAATTATTAAAATAATTGTGCCCAAGTCACTTCCTTCTGTTGGCGACACACAGAATAATGTGACAATGTTACATTTAAGCAGCACAAATTAGTAGAATGTGTTTTCATCTTCTACTTGGGAGACAAATATGATTTTAAAAATCTCATTACTGAAACGCAGATGAGTGAAATTAAATAAATACAGACACAGAAGTTTACATGAACAGTGATTTATCAGAAAAGTTGACGACAAACACAGAAATATGTGAAGACATCAAAATAATCTCTCTCACCTAAAGACTTGCAGATTGAGATGGTGGCTTCTTCCAACAGCTTTAACTCAGCACTGAAGACGAAGAAAGGAAGCATTTAGTTATATGAGCAATAACAATCCCTGAGTCTATAGAGGCCTGCCACTTGTAGAATACAATTACTGCATTTAAATACATTTGTTATAGTGCAGTACTGCAATTCCTATGACCTTGTAATTTTAGTTACTCCATTTACCTCACTCACATAGATTGCGTGCGTTATTTGAAGCAGTGTGGCCATACAATGGACAATTAACATTCATCTCACTCTGTCAAACAATTCATATTTAAAGTGGGCAGATCATTTCTATGTCAAACTTCACTCATCCCATGCTTGTTTTGGAATAAGCCCCTGTAAATAAACATAGGTCCACAGTTTCAATTTGTAGAAAAAGTTTGCTTTTGTACTAGGAATATCATTGCATCATGCGTGGATATAAAAGGAAGAATGTAACCCTTTTCTAAAGCTGAAAATGCCTCCATAAGCAAACAGATTTAATTTCAGACTTAATACTATAACCCAGTTTCAATAATTATTGCATGTGGTTACAACAGATGCAATTGTAAATCATGTATATGCCAAGAGGATAGGATTTTTACAAATTCACTAACTGCCAGATGATATATCTATATCAAAACATCTACTTACAAAGATTTTATAATGAAAAGGGAGGATGGGGAGGAAGAAGGACGGGAATCAAACAACCTTAAAATAATCCCAACTATGTGAAACCTATAAAATACACATACACCACTAGAAGTGCTAAGTATGTAGGCCTGAAAAGCATTGTACAAATTAACTAATCCTTGTGAAGTAAATCAAGTATTTGCATTTTAGAGACAGGAAAAACAAAAACAGTAGTAGGCATCTTGCACAAGGCCACGTTAAATGGGACACCTCCATACTGCTTCTATATTAGATATTTAAGGATCTTATCTCCTGCCAATATGTACCAAGGAAAGACAAGATTCCTTAACAACAGAATGTAAATTTCCCCTTTTCCAATTTAGTGTTATTAACCTGACAAACTCCATTGAAAAGAACAGATTTTAAATTTTTTATTAAAGCTAATGTTAAAATTATATAATACACAGGTTAAGGAAAGAGTGTTTATACATCTGGGTATAATGCTTACATTATCCCAAAGTACAAATTTTGGTTTAAAAGTCATAAAATACATATAGTACATAATCTGCAATAACCCAAATTAAGGTTAATAAATTTAATGATACAGTTTAGATATTAGCATCCAAATATTCAGGTACATCACTCATAAAAGGTTATACTGAGAGTAGCTTGTGGAAAAGAAGTATAGCAATGAGTGTAGATTGTCCCTCCATAATTGAGCATTTAGGATAGGTTGTCCCTCAGTAAACACAATCCATCACAGAAGTATTTCACTATATATACAAAGCCAATAAGGTTTTTTGGGTGGGGAAATGGCTTTTACACTTCCAGGTCCAGTTTGTTTGTTTTAAGAAACCTGGCACAAAGTAACATTCTATGATCAGTAGAAAAGCTGGAGTCTATTAAACTTCCATTTTCAAAACCCCCGGCCTAGGATAACTTGCAGTTCAATGAGTTTTCAGGTAACTGCCTATTAGCCCATCAAAAAGAGCTAGACACCTTTTACCAAGTGCAACTGTGAAATGGGATTTTGTTTTTCAATTTGTCACCTTCTGAATACATATAAGGTAAATATCACAGCATTAATTTTCACTAAGCACCAAGAGATGTTTAGAGGCGGAGCTGAGTCTAGCAAGTAAAGAGGACAGTTAAGAGACTAGATTTCTGCTCCTTGCTCGGTCACCAGCTCACTCAGATATCCTTGGGCAAGACACTTATCCTCTCAAGGCCAAATTCATTGCTGGTGTAAACAATTCTAGTGATTTGAAGCTGTCATCTATAAAATGGGCATAGCAATACAGGAGTGAGCATTGTGGTCAGTCTTTCAGAATGAAAATGAGGGTGGCACAAACATCCTAAATGGATTTGGGCCAGGGGGAGGATATCATATTAGCTCAAGGCTGAGAAAAATCTAGAGGGCTTTTGCTTGCTTTACCATAGAGGGGTTGAATAGAAAACTATGCTTTTTCATTCTCTTACGTTTCTGCCTCTTCTAAGCTTCAACTGTCTTGATGCATCTCTTCATTCTCTCTCCACAGCCCCAAAGGCTTCCACGCACTAATTTCTTCCTACTGCACTGTTATCTCTCAGCTCCAGGACACACCCTCACCTAGTTCTCTCACCTCCGCAGAGTCTCTCAATTTTGTTCATCTTTTCTCTTGTGCATTTCCCATACATCTTTGCCCTGTTGGTATAGAAGGTAAGCAGGCAGCCTCCCTCTACTTATCTGAAACAGAGGTTACCAAAGGGATGTGGAGGGTGAGCAGATCCCAATATCACCTGCCAATGCAGGTGTGTTAGTAGGCCTGGGGAAAAAGAGGATTCAATCCTTAGTGTTTGCAAAATGCTTTGAGGTCCCTGGACAGAAAATGTTATGGAAGTGGAAAGTATTTATGTTTAAAAGGCTTTATAATGGAAAATTAGGGGAAAGACCAACTTTTAGTGGTTTCAGGAATCACCAAGCATTAACTAATCTAGTTGCCAGTCTCTTTTGCAGTCAGAGGCAACCAAAGACAGGAGTGCACTTTCTCTCTGGCAGAAAGTGACTCAAGAGCCTTCTTAAAAGCTTAAATCTCCTCTACTTGTGAGATATTTAGCCCAAGATGTTTTTGTACATTCCCAGTTTGCATGCTCATATAGTAATTATATATCATCCCACATGTTCTCAATAGAATTCCTCCCTGTAAAACCAAGAGAGGTGCATCCAGAAGCCCAAACCTCTCCAGTGGGTTAAAATATGAAACAGATTAGTTCCTGGGAGGTCTGGCTCTCCCACTCACCCTCAAATCAAGCAAAAGAACTATAGAAAAATAGGGTTTAATGGATTAGCCAAACCAATCACCATACTCCAAGGAGACCTCCAAATTGCGATTCCATAGGAACTGCTATACTGCCTCAGATCCACGATCCATCTAGTCCAGTACTCTGTCTCTGACAGTGGCCAGAAGCTGAGACTTCATAGGAAAATGCAACAACCCTTTTCAGTGGAAAGATTTGAAATAGTTTGCCACCATGAAGGTCTAATCTTAATCCCTAAGGGTTAGATTTTGTCTTAAACCCTGAAATATGAGGTCTTAAATCCCTTACAAATACTCTTATTTCACCCATTAACTATAACAACTCTGGATATATTCTGGTTATCCATATAAACATCCAATCTTACTGAATTCTTGGCCTCAATGACATCTTGTGGTAATGAGGTCCACAGTCTAAATATATGTTGACTGAAAGAGTACTTCCTTTCATCTACAAGTTGACGAAGTAAGAACCATATCTGCAGAAACCTTGGGCCCAAATGCTTCTGTGGTGAGCATCCAGTTCCATAGCTGGGTTGTGTGCAATGACAAAAATGAAGCCTGGAGAAATCTATATCACCCAAAGACATCCCCAAACTTCACTTCACTAAATGCCATAGCATTTAATATGGAAGTATATTTGTGGGAGTAGGAGAGAAAAATGGGAGGCCAGCAGGCAGGAAAGATCCATAAATTGTAAGGCCAGAAGGGACCATAGTGATCATCTAGTCTGATCTTCTGTATAGCACAGATCACAGAACAGCTCCAAAACAATTCCTAGAGAATATCTTTCAGAAAGACATCCAATTTTGATTTAAAATGGTCAGTGATGGAGACTCCACCACGACCCTTGGTAAATTTTCCCCATGGTTAATTACTCTCGCCATTAAAAATTTATGCCTAGCTTCAATTTCCAGCCATTGGATCATGTTATACTTTTCTCTGCTAGACTGAAAAGCCTATTATTACACATTTATTCCCCATGTAGATACTTATGGACTGTAATCGAGTCACCTTTTAACCTTCTCTTTGTTAAGCTAAATAGATCGAGTTCTTTGAGTCTATCACTATAAAGCATGATGAGTAATCCTTTAATCATTCTCCTGGCTCTTCTCTGAACTGCCTCCGATGTATCAACATCCTTCTTGAAGTGTGACACCAGAACTGGACAAAGAATTCCAGCAGTGGACACATTAGTGCCAAGCACAGAGGTAAAATAACCTTTCAATTCCTACTCGAGATTCCTCTTTATATGAATCCCAGGGTTGCATTAGTTCTATTGGCCACAGTGTCACTCAGAGCTCATGTTCAGAGGATTATACAGCACCGCCCCCAAATCTTTTTCAGAGTCACTGCTTCCCAGAATAGAGTCCCCCATCTTATAAGCATAGTCTACATTCTTTGTTCCTAGATGTATAGATTTACATTTACAGGACGATCACATGCAGAAATCCACTCTGTGACGCTTCCCGGGATGCCTCACAACCTTGGGTATCTTGCTACCACCTGCTTTTAACATGAGGAAGCCTTGTCTGTGTCTGCCATGGGTCAGATCCCCAAATCCTCTGGCCACAGAATATTCCTGAGATATGTCACTTTCTGGTGACCTACCTTAACTTCAAAACTTTAAGAACATAATTTCCCATATAGATACATCACACCTTAAATATTATCCATCCATACATTTTGCAATGACTATGATGACCAGTGGGCTACTGGCTCTCAGAGATCACACTGCTATCCTTCCGTGAATTATTATGCATATATCTGACCCAGGAGATCCCTATAAAACCACATGCACCCACTGTGCCCTCTGCCCGCTGGCAGCACGTGGTGTCTGTGTCACACACTCCTAGCTAGTAAACATTCATGTACACCTAAGGATAAGCCAAACCCGTCTATATCCATCAACTTCAAAAATCACTTCAGCGATTCCTAGTGAAGCCTCTTACATCCTGAAGAGCCCTTCCATGTTCCAAATGGTTATTTACTCTCACTTCCATGTCTCCTCCACCTGCACACACCTACTAGCTGCACACGCTCTTCCTGACAAGATTAAGGTCTCAAATTGCACGACACTCAAGGCTACATTCACATCAAATGCATTTCTGCT